CCCGCGATCCACCTGCCGTCAACACCGTACATCCATCTCTCACAAAGTTCTTGCCAAAGCCAGCAATGATATTGCGACTGTCCTTTGCGCGCTGTACGAACAGGCGCGCGTTGTTGATCAGGTGGCGTCGCAGCATGTCAAAGTCCGTCGAGCTGCCAGCCTGCCGCGTCTGCAGACTGCTGATGAGGTAGCGCTGAAAGAGATCTGTACCGGCGGAGAGAGATATGGGGTTTGGCACGGATGCGGTTAGCGTTTCGACGAGGGATTTGAGATATTCGAGAGTTTCGGAGATGGTGCTGGTGGGGTGGGCGGCGAGAGCGCGGACGAGGGATTCGATGGCGGCGACGGGCATTGTTAGGTCGGCGTCGGAACTGAGGAGGGCGTGGTAGGTTGCGACTATATCGAAGTTGGGTGAGGCGGTGGGCAGTGGGCCCGATGATTGTACTGTCATGTTGTTGGTTGTTGTGTGGGATTGGAATGCTGGTAAGCGCAAAGAGGGTGAAGTGGTGAGAGTGTGTCAATTTAATATGCTTGATTCTGAGCGATCAGTAGTCTAGAATAACAAGCTGGAGTGGTGATATGGTGAAACGGACGGTTGTCTGTGTGTGTTGTGAAGTTGAAGGTTGAGGTCTTGGAGGTGGTGAGAGCTGAGCTGGAGCAGTTTTCAGTTGAGTCATCTACTCTAAGATTTCACCATACACTAATAAGCCCCAATTCGATTTTTGTTCCTCAGCTTCGAATTGTTCTTATATATTAGTTGAATAATGCTATCTTGAAATTCATCATAACTTTTTCTGCTGCTAGCCTGCTACAGTTATTTTGCCAACAACATGCTCAGCTTGCTAACTGTTATAACTTCAAATTCATTTGGACATTCGATCTGAACTACTATACTCTGATTTCATCACCTAGTACTCACCTTTTAGGACTTGAGGATAGGAGTTACCATTCGAAGAGACATCGGAAAGACTCATCAGGAACGAAACGTTGTTACTCTACGTATACTCTACTCTAGTACGTAGCAAAAATTGCACAAACCTACTAGTACAGATATTAAACAAGGAGCTACATTTATTTGCACATCTCCTGCTTATTAGGCCTGGTTCCAAAACAAAGTCAGTCCATATTACGCTCACAATCATCATAAACTACAGTAGTTGACAAAGTTAGATATACATCCATGCTGTTAGGGAAAACTCATTATCATCTTGACAGCTTGCCCTGACTAAAACGAGGGTCCTGCCGAGATTTTGAATAATGCTTAGCTCATTGTTGTATGGATCTGACCTGGTCACTGAAGCAGAGCTTTGGTGGCCAGGGCGGATGATATTTCGTGGTGATAGCTGTCATGATCCTTTGAGTTTGTGACTAGCTTTTCTGTACTGTGACTCCATTCGATCTCATTTTTAAAAAGAGAAATCTATCGAAGGCGAATTTAGACGAAGCTGCATCATGACTGGAACTGAGATACATCTTACATGTACGAGTGCGAATGCGAACACGAGCCTGGCGCATGAAGTGATCAGACCATTGGAACGTGATTGGAATAAGGAAAAAAGTAAGCTAAAGTAAGTATTTGACATGCTTTCTGCCCATCAGATTTTTCTATTCCAGTTCGCTGTAAAAGTAGAAAATTCGCTGCTATGCATTCATTGCAAGAACATTACACCGTAGCTTTGCGTCAAGGTAGTATGTACTCGCTGTCGTTATCATTTGAGAGATAGATTCCAGTCTAACGTGCCAATCCAGGATCAACTGCTTGTGTCGAAGGACTCCTTCCCGCTTGAATCATCGCCTGCGGCCATATTATCGCCCACTGCCATTCTTGAGGCAGTAACGTCGATAACCCGCTTACCTCGCGCTCCGCCAGTCCCTGAAATACCCAGTGATCGTCCACCACTGCTGTCATTGCACAATAATTGGCCAGTATCGCAATCGCTCGCGGCCGTTGTTCCTCCACGAATTTGAGAAATGAGGGTGATGCGAGAAGGTCGAGATAAAGCAGTCGCCGAAAGGTGAGGTGGTAGTCATCGCGGCTTTGTATCCCAGCATACACGCCAGACATGTATTTGACCACTAATTCATAAGCGTCTTTTACTTCCGGGTCAAAGTCTGGCTCAGGATGGGCCTCCCAGTCCAAAAGCCGCAAGAATTGATCTGGAATTCCGACCTTATCGAGATCGTATTTGTTCCAATTCATCAATTCTTGGTCTTGTCGAAGCACCATATCTTTCAGAACAATTGGCATTATAGGCTTGATTGTATATGCCATCTGACATATACCTCTCATCATATGGAGCCATCGCATTGGCGGACTATATCCTTCCTCTGCCCGTGTTTCTTCTCGACAAAGTGCCAATGCCTGGATTGAAAGAACTGTCGTAGTAAGCCAAAGCGCGTTGGCATTTTCCTGGTTGATGTTGGACAGAGCTTCTCGTTGTTGTTTAGCTGCAATATTAAAATAAATCCGATGGGCACTCGCTGGTGCCACTGGGAGTCTGGGAACTGGTATCGGTTTCGGTTCAGGTTCCCTCGCGATGATGCTGGATATTGGTGGTGGTGAATTCGGTGGTACCCGGGAAGAATAATCCATGTGAAGAGCGGAGAGAGAGAACAAAGAGTTGAGCAAGAATGGGTACTCCAAGGCCATACCCATTATATGGCTGTTTTTCGTTGCCGTACTTGGTTCATCCTTGGCTGATGGAAAGCCTTCTATGACAACAGAAGTGAACCAGAAGAAGAGACGAAGTTCCAAATTTCGTCGAGTTTCAGCATCCAGAAGGATTTCTTCGTCAATGTCGTCAACGTTGATTTTGGGGTGCATATTCAATCCAGCGAAAGCACTTGGGGCTGGATTAGGCGCCCTTGATCGTCGTCTTGGAGGTGACCGGCTTCCTGGAGAGTCTTTGCTTGGGTATTCGCAACTTACTCCGTGACGTTTGCAATTGGTACATGTAGGATGTATCTCGTCACATTTTACTCTCCGCTTTTTGCACATTCGACATCCATTCCGGGATTTGGTATGATGCAGACGAGGCGCCATGTTGGTGTGGAAGCTGCGGGCTGCCAACGATCCTCGGATGCCAGCGGAGTATAACTTGGTAAGTTGGAAGTCAGGACAAAACCGGTGAATACAAGGTCAATCAGTCCATAAATGTTGAAAGTGGACCAGACTAATGGCAGCTGAAGTTGGCCAACAGAAGTCTCAGATGCAATATAGAAGCTATATCACGTGGGAATGACTCTGATCAATTGATACTTCTAACTGGCTCAATTGTTCATGATGAGGTTTGATACGATAGAGTGTAAGTAATTTGCAAAGGAAGATGTGGCTTAGATAATCTAACAAAGATGTCTAGTAGCCAAGACCAAAAGATGATGGAGTCGGAAAGAAATCCCGTCGCGTTTGAGTTGATACAGAACAAGATGTTGGTAGTGTGGTGGCTTGGATCCGTGCTTTCAAAAGAGGCGCCGGCCCTCGATCCTGACAGGTCAGAGTAGATGATATCTGGGGTAACTTGTTACAAGCACTACTCTATTGTTCAAGTAACAGGTAATTTCGAGAGTAATTCAGGTAGGGGCGGTAGGGCACCTGGCAGATGAAGCATATATCGCAATAACCCTGAGATAATGCCCCACATTGAATTGATGAATGAATGGAGAATATTCCTGGCAAGCAAATCGGCGGCCAAGAAATAGAAACGCATACAGGATACTCTATTGCGGAATCGTCGTGTAATCGCACCAATGCGTAGGCTTCATATTCGCGCGTATCTTCGCAATAATTCCGAATTCGAGCGATCTGTCGCTGCTACTAAACATGATCAATTGGACTGTTGTACGGCTCTACTAGTACGTAAGGTAGTCAACTGGTACACTCGAAAATCCGGCCCAATACGGAGCTCAAATTAGCGATGGATATAAATTTGGAGTTTGAGTTATGTAGTATTGCATTCCGGTTTTGGGAAACGACTTTTGGGGGCAGGAGTTTAGTGCTGCCGATAACGTAAAACTGGTTGTAATCAAAACTTTGTTAAGAGACACTGTGCAGGTTTATATTCCAGATGTGGCTATCAATTCAAAAGTATCTCTGTACTAGTAGGAGAAGAGAATGTATTCAGGTGCTTCTGGTTTCCTATTCTCCACTGAATTGGCAACATGGAATTACGTGGAATTGTCGAAATGAATGTTGGTTTGAAAAACTGCGTGAGAGTGGATGTTCTCTGGCAGGCACAATTTGAGATGTTTAGGTAGCATCTCGACTTGAGGAGAAAATCCAACTCTTCCCACAGTATGCTAAGATACTGATCCAAAATATCTCATATGTCACGGATATCTTATACAGGCAAATCGTATCCAGAAAAACCGAACGACTTACAACCTAAGGTATGAACGGTGTAAATTAGATCTTACCATGCAGTGACCAGAATACTCTTAGACCCCATATGATACAAATCTGCCATTCGTGACTCTGCCAGTCTGAACTTGAAAACTACTACTTTCGAGAGTCAGTAATGGAATGCACCATGGGACCATTATCGATTGAAGTTACGGACTCTTGTCGTATATGATTATCGTTTCCATGCTCACTTGTCTTTTGACATCAGCAGCTCCATTCAGACTGCAGAGTACGAATCTGTTGATGTAGAGTATATCCCGATTACCATCTTAAGCTTCCATTACCCCCCAATCTTTTTCTTTACAGTTTCCGCTTCTCATGTAAATACCTCCAGTACTTGAAAAAATGAAGAAGTACATCAGTGTATGACATAAACCAGATTCCAAGTTTGCTGAAATCGCGCACCGCCCAAGAAGCTTGATTCTCGTATGGTTCACTCTTATCATCAGCTAACTTTCTCCTCTCCTCTCAACCCCGGCCATTTCGCCTTTCTGTGAACCATTAAAGGGCTCAAAAATAGACTACCTGTAGTAACCTTAGAAGCGGAGGGCAAAAAGCTTTTGAGGTTCCGTAATCAGACATCAAAAAAGAAACATTGCGCCGACGCCTGCAGGATTTGAACCTGCGCTCCCGAAGGAAATAGATGAATAATAAGTTCTAGTCTATCGCTATAACCACTCAGCCAAAGCGCCTTAAGTTTCGGTCACAATTCAGCCGACCGAATATATATAATACAGACTTTGTGACCGTTTTCTATTGTCTTTCTCGCCATTTTGGGATCATACCCTACAGCAATCGTACGTTCAGAAATTTGCTACGCCTCAAACATTGATGGGAATGAAGAGCGAAAGCAGACTGTTCTGAAAGCACCCTACCAGAAGCTAGAGTAAATAGAACCAGCGCAATCAAAGGCTATCACAATTGAACATTTCATGATTCAAAACTGGTCGACTCTGGATTTCAAATTTGTCTCGAAGTTTATAGTTATAATCTCTGCTCAATCTCCTCATCAAGTTATGGGATTTTTCGCCGTGTCTGATAGCCAGAGAGAAGACATTGATTCCAACCATGTTTTCTTTTTTCAAGTTGTATTGTTCGAAAGGTGGAGGCCGGAGGTTTTGACAGGTTGCTCAGGAGTCAGCTACAAGCCTCCATCTGGATTCCTGGAAAAAAAATTGGTCGCGTGAGCCTGCACTCTCTTCAATTGTTTCCTCTCCAAGTCCTCCCAACCTAACTCATCATGTCCGACTCGACAACAGGCTCGAGGCCAACTTCGAGCGTCTGGGACAAGACCTTCCTAATCGCAATCTTTGGTCTATTCTCAACCGGCATGCTTCTCACCATCGGTCATTTTTCTGCTGTTCAAGAGAAGCCCGACACGCCAGCCAACGACCTTGACTTAGGAAATCCTTTGGACGACGATGAATAAGATTTCTTGTACCAATAACCAACAGTCTGATTGCAACCGTTTGGCAAAAAAGGTCAACACCGACAATGGAAGCTCCGTCAAAAGCTCTACCTGTAAGCTTTGCGTACCTGTCACGGTGCTGTGTACCGCCAGGCACAAGCTGACTTTGGAGCTCCAACACTCCCAAAGCTTGATGCCGTCTAGCCCGCATTAAACCCCACGACTTGCAACCAAATCCTCCCACTCCCGTCCATCTCCACCCTAAATACCAGACTCTTCCCGCCGTCTCCCAATATTCTCCCTTCGCCATGAACGTTGATCCCATCACCAACGCCGCCCTCCCCGCCGACGCAATCCAACGCGTCCTCTACCTCGCACCAGCTGTCCACATCTACCGCATCCCTCCCCCCTCCGCCCCGCGCTACCTGACCGCCGCAAACTGGACCACCAATCCAGCAGACCACATATTCACCGCCCGTCTGCGGCTGGTCGAGACGGCGATACCAAAGGGCGATGGCGAAAGCGTGAGCGCTACGATACTGCTGGAAGATGCGTCCTCGGGCGAGCTCTTTGCTGCTGCGCCGTACAACCATGCTAGTGTGGTGGAACAAGCTACTGATAGTAGCCGTTTCTTTGCCATTCGCGTGGTAGGCGAGGGCGGGATGAAGGCAACGCTTGGACTTGGGTATGAGCAGCGACCGGATGCGTTTGACTTTAGCATAGCGCTACAGGATGTGCGGAGAGTCTTGGGCTTTGAAGCTCCTGGAGGCAAGACTGCCAGCGTCAAGGCGGCTGAGGCAAAGAAGGCTGAGACGGAGGCCAAGCGCGATCTCAGTCTGAAGGATGGCGAGATGATCACTATCAAGATTGGCGGTAAAGGCAGAAAGAGCGCTGCTGGTGCTGAGGATAGTCTGAGTGCTGGAGGGAATCCGTTTGCTATTGCGCCTCCGCCAGGAGGACCTTCAGGCCACAAAAGAGGAGCAAGTGGCTCTGTGCCGGTGTTAGCACCTCCGCCGGAAACGAAGGCTTCCGGACAGATGACGGCGGAAGAATTGGGTTTTGATGATGGAGAATTCGGGGAGTTTCAATGAGGAAAAGCATACGAGACTGTGCTGAATAATACAATGACTGCATTGCATTACGGTGTATAGAGCCTGGATACTCATGTATCTATGACGCTGAAAATCAAACAATCAGTGTGATGACAGAGAGCTTTCTCATCTCTTTTTCACATCCCTCATCCATCAATTCCTCGTTAGTCGTTTCGTCTTTAGCGGTGCTATTGCTCTACAAGCGCAACACGCTACTGGTACTGTTGATACCATCAAACAAGCAGATATTGTCAACCGGCACATACTGCTTGGTTACCACTTTGATAACCTCCTGGGCAATGAGGCCACCTCCCAGGGACGATATGTTGTGTAGTTCGCCTCCACCGGCTCTGGCACTACAATGTATTAGTTGATATTCAATCGAGGCAATCTCAACTTACAGCTCGGCGCATAGCTTTCCAACCCGAGTCTTGGCCTTTTCCACGTCTTCACTGCTTTTCTTACCAGCCTGGCTGAGAAGATCGCCAATGATAGAGTTGGCATATTTCGTCATAATTGTGGCATCTTCTTTGATTGCTTCAATGCCAGGTGCGATTTGCTTCTCGTCATACAGCTTGTCATATGCTAAGAATGCCACATATAGCAGGAAGTGAGAGGTTTCGTCTGTTAACAACATGGCTGCGGAAGACGCTTTGTCTGACCAGTCCAGTGTGGTACTGGCAGCTGAAATGTGTAACGGGCTTCCTCTGATAAGTTTGATGTGCGCTGCGTTCTTGCAGAATGCCTCAACCTCACTACTCTCGATCTGCTTGGTGCGGCCAAGCTTGATCTCTAGCGATTGCACTTCTTTAAAGACTTCGGCAATATCCTGTCGAGCTTTTGATTTGTAGACATTCTGCAATTCGATGTAGTCCGAGGATCGGGCTTTCATGTCAGGTACAGCACCGGGTAGAGGAAGCACTCCATTTTTCGTGTAGAATGTTGAGATTGCATGTGCGATGACCCAAAAGTTGGCGGACTGAGCGCTGAGATTTGCACACTCCTCCGCTTGAAATACCCCCTTCACTGAGGAGTTTGGGGTTGGTTCGTTCAGATTCTTGAGCACCGCCGCTACAGCTTGCTCATAATTCTCTTCGCCTCCTTCTGGATTGTTACGCCGCATTGCGCTGTTCACCAACTTCTTGAACTCATTCTTCTCTTGATAGTTTGCAGGAGATTTACCATCATGACTCTTCTGCCAATCGCCCAGGTAGTGTAGTAGTAGCAGAAGGTATGGCACGTGTCCGTGGTCGTGATGATCCATCGCATCTAAGCCCTTCGTTTTGTTTTGCGCATATTCGATCAAGTAAGGCCAGGGTTTAAGGAGTCGTAGATCGGTTGTTGTAACAGGGTCAGGATGAGTATCGACGATTGGGAAAGCATGTGGAAGCTGTATTGAGAAATGTACGTAAAATCCAACTGAATGCATGTAGAATAGAGGCACGCCAGACGAATCGCAATGTTCTGATAGCTGGGAGAGGAGTTTGGACTCGAGAGGCGACGCGACGAGGATGATGGAGAATGGTTGAAGCGCATCAGGTTTGCTTAGGAATTTGCTGGCAGTCTACCTGGTTAGCAAACATCACTGAGTTGGGTACTCAATCAGTACCTGGGAGTTGAAATCAACCTGAACATCAGGATTAAGCTCTTGCAAAGACTTGCAAGTTTCTTGGGCGCGAGACTTTCCCAGACTTTGCTCGTCTAAGAAGAAATTGACACCCAGATCTTTCTCTTCCACAACAGCTGAATCAAGTATAGTGAAATGTCCCATACCTGGCAGAACCAGATTTTTGAGCGCTTCGACACCAATAACTCCAGGGCCAGAGTTTATGAGCAGTAGATGTGCATCTTCCAGAGCCGCTTGGCCGCTTGCTGCCCAGAGACGGAGCTGTCGGTCGTACTTCTTCTCTTTGGCAGTGGGTCCTTGAAGGACGGGAGGCGTGGTAGTCATGGCTAGGGAAGTATTCAAATAGCGGTGGCTTGGACAACTACAAAGGAAAGAAATGCAAAACGCGCGACCAGAATTGGGGTATATGGAGATAGCAGAATTGAGAATAGTTGTAGAAGTATGAAGCTACAGACCTGCTTTAGACTTTGGAGAGCAAGAGGCAAGCTGTTTGGCAGCAGCGATCCCCGCAGCTGCCTAGGTAAGGGACCCACTTCAGCCTTGCCAAGCTCATTTTCAGCCTTGTTAGCTGGTTACATCTCTTCAAGCGAAATCAATGGTCGAGGAGAATATTATAATTAGATCTGGCTATTTAGCCGTAGACTGTTTCGCTTCTTTAATCCATACATGCAAACGTCAGCATAATGTGTACCCACACCTCAAAGTGTGTCAATTTGACCCAACAGCCACTGTACTTGCTTGTATGCAATATATGGTGCGTATTCTGGACCCATATGACCGGTTTTGAAGCTTTCTGTCCATAGAAGACCTCTTTCTTGATGCTGAACTCCACCTGACGATCCATCGGGGAGCAGAACTGGTGTTGCAGGTTTGCTCTGGAATCCAAGATCTCCATTCCATGTCATGTTTTGAATAGCCAGCAATGTTCCGTTCGTAATGATGATCATATCGTAGTCTCCGTTACCGACAATAACGCGGTTAGTAGCCTCTAGAACTTGGGGAAGCACTTTCTGAATCGAATCAGCGGAAAGATCTCCTTCTCCTTCTGGGCCTCGGCCATATCCGCCAACAAAGACATTGTTGTTAGAACACTCTGTCCATGTTGTAGTTGACGGAGCATGGAAAGCGGCCTTGACATCTGCCCGATTGAAGTATGGGTTGTCACCTAGCTGATCGACTGGTGTTGGACATGTTTGATTAACATCATAGACATTGAAGCATTCGTTGATGTTGCTGATTTCGTTATAAGCTGTATTGAACAGTCCGCAACCACTTTTTGAAGCTGCAATTGCTGGTTGCTTCTTTGGTGGTGGGAATTGCAGGTAGGTATCGATATATGTGTCATAGCCGCAACTCTTGTGGGATTTCTCCAACGAAGACATTTGCGATGCTGAGAACGGAAAGAACTGCTGATTTGCCTTGATGAAAGGAACTACTACAGTGTCTTCTTGAACTGTATCATACTGTCCTATACAAGGATCATACATCATTGAGCCTATATTACAAGAATTAGCTCAGTGGTCGCATAAAACATTCTCGTCTTGACCATACCTCCAAGATCAAAGT